TAAACCTGCATTTCATTGCAGAAAAAAAATTATGAGTCATAAATATATATCTTGGGTTTTTCAAAGCACGATTGTTTTTTTATTTAGTGCTTCTATAAATATTTTGGAATCTTGAGATGACATGGTTACTAAAGTTTGTTTTTAGGAAAAAAAAGGACTGAATGTTTGATTGGTTTAATTCCGGTGATGGTTATTATCTTATATGCAATGAAATATTGTATGAAATTTTTACTGTAGTACAGGGCAGGATACAACTTTACTCATGCCAAGTTTGTCTTTATTTGCAACAAAGATAAATTCAGCACATTTTTTTTTTAAATTGCCATTTTAACAAAGACTAATAGGGGGAAAACAATGGTGGTATTACACCTGTGATGCTGTCTTATTGACTATTTTGGCTGTGATTCTGTCTTATTGACTTTGCTTATTGGTCGTTACCTTGATGAACATACAACTAAGAAGATAGCGCGATGTTTATTTATTTATTTTTTCTTAATTTTTCATGCGTTTCCATTTGTTAATTAAACTTTGTCATACATGTGACAGTTGATAATTGATTTGATGTATTAATTTTTTTCTTTGATGATAGATTAATACTTTCTAACTTCTACGTTAGTGTACCTTTTCTTTCGGTTTTCTCTCGAACTTGCGCTGTTGGCTGCCAACTGAGTTCTAACCAAAGGTCTCCTGGCTACGGTCACTGAATCCGGAAAAAGCTCTTAGGCGAATAAGAGGACTGGAAAACAATAGTTCAATAGCAGACCATTTCTAATGATTTTTATAAGATAAAGGATTTATTTATTAACGAATGTCCATGTTCACATGCATAAAGTAAATCTTAGCAATTGAAGTATATAACACATATATTCAACTTTTTAAAAAAATTTAGAGTTTCACATGACTTTAAGTTTCTTCCTATTGAATATTTGTGAGTAATAAATCGTATCGATACAAAAAAGGAAACTTATGAACTAATGACGAAGAAAATAAACAAAATTGTTTGTCCTATTACTAGTATCAATATCAATAAACGTTATTGTGAACATTTAGACATTTGATAGTTATTGTAACGGCAATGCCATTCTTTAAAACTTTCAGTAACTCATGTCGCCGGTAAACTCAGTTTTCGATAGTAAAATCATTTTATTGACGTCAACAAGCATAAAAATTCAACACAGTTGCACATTTACCTTATTGAGCTGCAAATTGTTGACATTGACATAACAAAGTTTTCTTCAAAGAAGGAACCCTGCCCATTATTTTACAGGACAGACAACACTAAAACTAAATGTCTGGACGCTACGAACGAGGTTGCAAATTGATAAACTTTTAAAGAAAATCACAATCTAAATATTGTTAAATCTATCTTGAAAGTAAAGTTGACCACCTTCAGCAAATGGCAGGTATTCATTTATATTTTCTCTCTTGGTTGTGATTTTAGCTGGATTTGAATACTCGATTAAACAACAGCCCCATGCATTTAATTTTGAATAACTTTATTTCAATTCAAGGGGTTGTTTGATTCCGAAACCTTATTATATATCATGTGGATCGTTATTTTATTAAAGCTATATCATTCATTGGATAGATCGGATCAACCAACAGATATGATGCTTTAGCTAGTGCACATGACGGGAGAGCCCTTGGATCGGCACATTCTGGACCAAATTTTCCGTCATGGCATCGGGAATACCTCAAACTGTAAGTAAATGAATATATGAAATACTTATCTTTGTATTACTCATATGCATATATTGCTAAAAAGAAAATGTACGAACATAATTTTAGCTCCCCAAGTAAAAAGGTCGAAGTAAGCAATTGCTATCTTTTTGCTTTGCCATCCAGTCTTTGTCCTCCGTTAACTTTGGGATATATCTGTTATCATTGAAGTTTGATATAAGAACTTGGGGACAATCATTCTTCGTGTTTCTTACGAAAGTTTTATCCTGCAATCAGCCAACTGGTACACAAATAATGATTTGCTTTAGTTTATTTGTACCTTTTCGGTAATGTTAATACTACCATGTACGTAACTGTTCATTTAGGTGTCCTCATCGCGATCCGCGTTAAAGCCATGAACAGACTACGATTGGGAATTTCAAATACTGAACGTTTAACTTCAACTTGAGCTTCAGGGTGAACCAATGAATAACTAATGATGCTACTGAAAAACCAACATGAACATTATTACTACATTTAGAACATAGTGGAAAAGCAAGTATGTTTCTTTGTAGCCTCTATAGGCAAAGGCAGAAGGTGATCTAATAGGCAAGATCAAACAAAACCCGATCTAAATGATATTTATAGTATCCGTTAATGTATTCATTAAATGAATGACATTTAAATTACCATATTAATTATACATTCTATCTGATTCATACAGGCTTCATTGAGTCTCAAGCTTTTTCATAAAATGCTTGCCGTTTTATCAAAATACTAATTTGAAAATATGAAGTTGTGGTATGATAGTCAATGAGACAACCCCCGACCAGAGACCAAACGACGTAAAAGATAGCAATTATAGGTCACCGTACGGCTTTCATCAAAACCCATACCTCACAGCAAGCTATAAGAGGCACCTACATTACAAATGTAAAACAATGCAAACGAGAAAACGTGCGGCCTGATTTATATCAATAAACGAAAAACAAATATGATATACAGCAATAAAATGAAAAACCACTGAATTACAGACTCCCGACTTGGGACAGGCACATACAGATTATGGCGGGGTCAAACATGTTTGCACCCCTTACCTTGGACATCGGTGAAACAGCACAACACAAGAACAAACTATGAAATAAGTTGAAAAAGGCTTGACTCATCAGAGCGATACAAAGCCCCAAAACAACTAACAAAATAATGAAGACACAAAGTACAGATCCTAGCTCACTCTCAGTTACTGAAAGCTAGTCCAAAGCCAAAAACAACTTATAATAATCATATATCTAGGAATAGAATATCAATCAGTAGACATCCAATGGATCTAGTGTAAAGACATCTTAAACAGTCAGAGAAGAACATGATCTTGTGCAATGCCAAAATATAGGTATCGACAGAATGTGGGACCGTAAATGTTCATAGCTGAATAGCAATACTATTAAATTATGTTTCAATTTGTTGATGACAAAATCAATGTTTGTATCGGTAAAACAATATTTAAAAATCTCATTACAGTGTTAAATTGGTATCTTTTTAGATAAAGTTCTATTTAAAGGATCGATAAGTATACAAGGGTCGTATCTAAATTCACGGATTCCTGAAACAACATCACTGTCAAAATTAGGATATGATATCCCATTTGTTATAAATGACAGGTACAGACAAACTTCAAAACGAAATCAAAAAATCAATTTAGTCAAGATTTTTAGTTATTTGTGGTAACGAAGTCCCTGACTTCATAATTTACCAGTGATACATAGATTGGTATTTTAATTAAAAACTAAAACGTCACTATAGACACGACCGGCCTCTCTTGTAGAAGATAAATTTATTTTTAGGTATTAATTTTATCCAGGTTATCTTCCAGTTTGAAACAACAAACGCCGAAGTTCAAGTTGTCTGACAATTGAACAGCAAGTTATGATCATGTGCGCTTTTACACACGTCTCTTTGATTGAATGTTTGATACAAAAGAGAGGCAAAAGATACCAAAGGGACATTCAAACTCATAAGTAGAAAATAAATTGACAACGCCATGGCTAAAAAAGAAAAAGAAAAACAACAGTACACAAAACACAACATAGAAGAACAAACACTGAGCAACACGAACCCCACCAAAAACTGGGGTGATCTCAGGTGCTCCGGAAGGGTAATTGCATTTTCATTCAACCCTTGGTTACAAATTATCGAATATAAACTGTTCCGCTGAACGTTTCATTTATATGTATTAAGCTTTCTAAAATTTAATCTTCATTCTATCTCATAGATGTTAATAAAGATACTATGATACGTCAGTTTGGCTTCAATGAATGATGTATGAATACGTAGCAATTCTTGTAGGAATGAGGATATTGAATCTGATGTAAGGAAAATGCAATGTTCTCTACATGTTACAGAACCATTGTAACAAACCGTCAGTGGTCCATATGGGGTCTGTTGCAAGACATTTTTTGTGCCCCTTACAAGCTCTCCTTTTCCAGCTATGGTCGAAACTTGTACTCTCATATCCTGGTCGACCCACTCTGCAGAACATATCTATTGAATTATTGTTAATTTGTTCTTGTCCTGAAAATGCATAAGATATTTGTCCTTTGCCGTTAGACAAATATCAATCAAGTAATCAAACACGTTTAAAATTTGACATTTGTAAATGCTGAAAAGTATTTTGCGACGCCGGTTGTCTATGAAAGTCCACTCCCTATTCGCATCGCGGTCTTTGAACACGTTTGCCTCACTATAAATAAGGGTCAAGCTACACCACTTAGACCACATCAAAGCCCAAACACCGACTCTTCCGAAAGATAACAGACATACAAAGAAAGACAAACAATAACTAACAACGACATAATTACATGCATGTTCAAAACTTTATGATTGACGTGTATTGAAGCAGCCTTTCATTAGATTTAATATTCCATACTGATTGGTCCTTCAATTCTTAATTTATGCAAAGCTACATTTACAAAGGTATACAATAGTTATAGATAATCTAGAAATTTAAAGCGCTTCAGACGCATACAATTTTTAAGTGTCAATTTCAATTTGTACTTTGTGGCTGATTCAGGAGAGGATACGCTCCTCCCACCTGTTCAAAAAATGCCACCCCCCCCTCTTTCCTAGAAACCAGAATCAACCCTAATTTTTATGCTATTACATTTTCATATTCAACAGAATCGAAATTCTAGACTTTATCTTAAGGTGATCCGTATCATAAAAGTTAAATTACTTTAGTGAACGACAAGTTCATTCTAAGGTGGAGACGCAGTTTCTGTATCACTTTTTGATAGAGGTTAAAGGTGTCTGACAATTGATCACTAAATTCGTACTTAATGTTTCAGATTTGAAGCTGCTCTACAGGAAATTGATAATCGAGTTACCTTGCCATTCTTTGATAGTAGATTAGATTATAACTTGTTTGACCCAAGGGAATCAAATTTTTGGGGCGATAATTTCATGGGCGAACACAGAGGTGTGGTATCAAGTGGACCGTTTCGTCTTTGGCGTCAGCGTAATGGTGCATTCTTAGAAAGAAATGGTGGAGCATCTGGTTCCATGATTTCACCAAGGGGGATTAGAAATGTGCTATCCAGAAGAAGAAATATTGATATATTGTCACCTTGGGCAAATGACAGATTTGATCTTGAAAACTACCACGATGCGTACGTATTAGAAAACAACTTAACCCGAAAAGAAAGCTTTATTATCAAATCAAATGTCAATTTCAAAATAATAAATGAATGTGCATTTTGTTTCCAGAACAACACCAAGCAAAACGTTAGTGTATTTTGAGTCACGGGGACTGAAACAGTGGAAGTATAAATGTTCAGCAACAGAAGCTTTTTCATAATCTAATGCATTCAGGGTAATATTTTCAAAAGCGTACACCTAAACATTGCGATTGGTTTAAAACGTACTAAAGAATGGAAATTCAACCAATGACGTAACGTTATTTTCATTTTGGTGTACGAACAATGAGATTACCCATAATCCTTTAGATTCTGAAAAGGTGAATTTCCATTCTGTCAATAGTCGCACATTTATTTTGATTAACAGAGAAGTAAAATATACTGAATATTAGCCATTGAGCCAATGTCTCGTCCCTTTTTATCCCAGAATGCCATAATGGAATGTTTCAGTGATTTTTATCGTTGATTATTTATCTAATTCCTTTTATTAAAGTAGTTTATCCATATCTTAAGTGTTTAAACTTTATTGCCCTCTTTCCCCGACCTTTAACTAAATGAACAATATTCATTCGTTCTCATTGCTATCAACATCCTAAATCCTACATCCAGCCTTTTTAAATTTCCATCAAATTTTTGCTTTTTTCTTACGTGCTTCGAAAATGTCTTGTCGATAAATTAAGAAATTACCAGAAAACTATATTCACAACTTCCTCAGGCAAAGTTTACCCTAGATGAACTTGGCAATGCTTTTTGTGTCCCTTTTGATCATATACACGTAGCTCATAATGTTTCTATGTATTAATAAACCCCCGTCGTTCCAATGTTTTGGTTTGAGTGTTCCTGAGGAAGATTTATCCAGAAAATAGGCCGAACGATATTTGTAATAAAGCCTTATTTGCACACGCCCTTTTTTTCTTCAAGAAACGCCACAAATCAACCCTGCATGTCTTGGCTCTTGTTTTGATCCCGGAGACGGCTATCTAGAATCCAAACACTCACGCTACCACCGTTTCTTGATTTTTAGAACTTTAAGTTTAAATCCTCCGAGGTAAATAGGTGGTTGAATTTCTGGCAAAATACATCAAAAAAACATGGCCAAAGCCGGTATTTGAAGGCATTAGAAATTCGTCAAGCCTGACCATTCAAACATCTTTATTCTTAAAATTGTCTACACGATGAAAGTAACTAGTTGCGAAATTGAGCTTTCAGATAAGAAGCTGGGCTTACTGAAAATATTTCACGAGCAACAATGGATCAGGAAACTCGCTTGATTGTGAATGTTCATGCAATATAATTCAAACCTGATGTGATATTTGAAACTTCCGCTGACAAACATCCAAGAAAAAATGAAATAGGAATGAATTTTGTAAATCATGTGTAGACCACTTGCTTTGCAAATATCTTAATGACCTTGTTACCAAGGAAAATATTGAAACGTTTTGACAGTTCGTATTGGTGACACATCTGAAAGGTTTCTGGATCCGCCCATGAAAGTAGTCAGTAATCTACATTTTGTATTTTCAAGTCCGTTTGTTTTTGTCATTTTTGTTGGAACATTATGGTACGTAATTGTTTGCATGTTTTTGTCGTTTTTATTCGATCTTTTTTTTCCTTTTATAGGTGCGATGGTGTTTAGATATTTAGATTTTTTAAACATATCTGTAATGGATCTCATTTGACATTACGCCAGTCCCTTACCCACGAATGAAACCCCTTAATAAATCTTATCATCTTTTAAATTGGATATTGTACCGAGATGAAAATTATGTAAATGTGCCTTAATTTGTTTTAAAATGGAAGGGTATTCATCATAGTTGAAATTTTGAATGTATATAGTTGATGATTGACTGAATAAATGATTTTAACCAGAAAGTGAATGAAATTACCATATTGATAGTAACAACAGTATTGCTGTCTACAATGTCTTAATGAATGAGGCTGCAAGTATGTGAAAGCAAATGAAATTTGGCAGTCAAATATAGAGAATAATAAAATCTGCCCTTCATTGGTGGTAGATTGTGATTTGAACCAACGACTCTGATTGAACAAATAATGGAAATGATATTGTGTCCCCATTAATTCTATATGTATACTGATTCCGACAATGAGCATGTGCAAAAGAGTATAGAAATTAGTCAATACACTCCGATTAATGCAGTCGTTACATTCCGCTGATCTACGCTGGCTACATATTCACCCCTCATCATTTGTATGAGAAGATAACTTATGATAAATTATTCCTCGTATGGTTTCCATTTCATCACATCCCTTGAATTAATTTTGAATTCATTTCGGCTTGTAGGAAAACGTTTTTTTTTTTTTTTTTTTTTTTTTTTAAATTGGCCATTTATTCACAAAGATTTCCTCTGGCAATCGTTTTTCATATAATCGGAACCACATGATGATCAAAGGTCATTTTGACTACTAGTACATATTCCTGTCAACCACTAGATCACTGAATTTAGGAGCGGATTTAGGGGGCAGGGGATCCGTGCCCCCTAACGGAGCAACGTATATGCGCATATGATAAATGCAAATACTTTTCACCACTCCAAACGTTGGCTTTCTAGTGGGGCTCACCTTTTAAAAAATCCTGGATCCGCACCTGGAATTAGCAAATTACTTCCATAAAAGAGTGTCAAAATATGCTTTTCCATATAGTTTAATCATCATCGGGCAACTATAATATATGCTACCAATGCATTCGTGTATGTCATCTAATCAACAAGCGATTTAGTGTTAAACACACTGTATATCGCTAAAGAGAGTGTTTTGATCTCTAGAAGTTTTGGGTGTAGTTTAATTTCTGTTTCATTGACGCTTACCATGTATCTCATTTTAAACTTAATTCAAGATTTATATTGGTTCCGTATGTACTTTTTTCGATATAAGTTTTTGCAACACACAAATTTTCAAAATTTGTGAAAGAGGTATTTAAAAGATAGGCGAAAGATACAAAATGGATATTCAAGCTCATAAGTCGAAAACAAACTGACAATGTCATGACAAATCTTAATTTCTTCTCGAACAATATATATTATACTAATGTATATAGAATGAGTAGGGACAAATTTTCAATATTTCTATTTAGATAAAGACTTCTTAGCAATGCCGCGTTATAAAGATATTTCATATAATCATTAAAAACTGCAAACAGTTATGAGTTAAACAATAAAATATTCATTAAAATCATACCTGAATTAAGTGTTTCAAATTTTTTGTCTTTTTCGTGGTGTTAAACACTTTTGACCTCTGACTATAAGTTTTACCATTTCAACTTCGTTCATTATTGTAAAACTGTAAAAGATTTTTTTAAACATTTGAATCCCAGTACAAAGTTTACCATCTTTCCGATTTCCATCTTCCGAGTGAATGAAATAGATTAAAAACAAAACATTAAAAAAATAAAGCAAAAAGACTTACTTAAATGATATAAAACAAAACTGACCAAATCGAATTCTTTGGTAAAGCTGAAAAGTTTATTGACATATACAAGGGCCTGGATGGTGTTTACAGAACAGGGAATAATGGGCAAAAAGTGCATAATAAAGGGTTACAAAAATAAAGAATAGAGAAAAAAGGCAGAACAAATTAAGAATAGAGTGCTAAAAGAGGATGCTAAAATATACAGAATAGAGAATAATTGACCAAGTAAATAAATAAAGAATAGAAAAGTTATCTAAAAAATCCAACAATAAAGAAATGAGCTCCCCCCCATCCTCCCCCCAAATCCAGACCCGCGTGTACTGTATCATAACTTTTTGTAACATTTTCTTTCTTTTACAGTGTACACGTTTGGGTTGGTGGTTCAATGCTTGGAGTTAATACAGCTCCATCAGACCCAGTATTCTTTCTGCATCACTGCTTTATAGACTATGTTTGGGAGCAGTTCCGACAAAGACAAACTGTAGATCCTGAGAGTGACTATCCATTTGATCAGAGTGCTCCGCCATCTCACGCACCAAACCGAATCATGGATAACTTAGAAAGTAGGAAGAGGAACATTGAGGGGTATAGTAATGATTACACAGATCAATATTACAGGTGTGTAATTCTCAAAAATAGTAACAAATATAAAAACTGTGAGCAGTGCAAACAAATTAATACCCGTGATCTTCGATTTGTATAACAAAGTTTATGTTTTGTTTTTTTTGTTTTAGGAGAACGTACTGATAAAGGATATCTAATAGGACAAAGTCGAAGTTTTACTATTCAAAAACACAAATGTCATTAGAGTAAAAATAATAAAATGGTTACCTCTCGATATCATAAAATACTAGATATCCAGTAGTTTTTTTTTATTGAAATATAATCTCTTATGTAGCAAGTTTTACATACAAAGGTTTGACGGACGGACGGATGATAGAACTAACGGACGTTCACTATATACCACTGCTTCAGTATGCGATATCAATGATAACTTTGTATGTTTTGTATGCTCAAACACGGCATCATACAAGGCTTGATTCCATGTTGAAGTACGAATACGAATACTAAAGTTTTATTTTGATTTTGTTTACATATCATGAACAGAACAACCATGACATAAGCTCTTGAGAGCTTTTTATCGAATATGAATAACATTACAAGAGAGAGCATGCAGATAAGATATATAAGAAGCATATATTAGAATGTATAAATACAGCACAGGCATATTGAAATACACACAAAGCACTACCAAACCACACATCTAAACATGCTAAAACTGAAGCATAACTGAAATTAAAGTACAACTAAAATTTAATTCAAGCACAACTAAAAATTAAGCGAAACTAATTTGAAGCACAACTAAACATTAGAGCACACCTCTAAAATTTAAAGGCATAATGCAAAAATTAAACATAACAGTTTAAATGTAAAGCGCTTTAACTAAAAAATATTATACATGAAAAGCTTAACTACATGCAGAACAACGACATTCCGATCCATTTCGGGACTGTATTAGGCTCTTGAATTGTGAAAAACTATTTTCAGCCCTGAAATGGTCGGGAAGGCTGTTCCACAGAGTAGCAGCTGCAAATCTAAAACTTTTATTACCAAACGGTGTTGATTTAACAAGTGGAATATCCAGTATATTACTACATCTGAAAGAATATTCACAATCTTTTACTTTTAATATAGATCATGTAAACATACAGGTGCTAATTTATTAACTATGTTTAAGGTTTCAATTGCCATTGATCTTTGTCTTTTAATATTCTGTGAAGGCATCTTAGCCTTTTCATGCAACTGTTGATATGAGCTTGAATGGTCTCCATACACAAATCTTAGTGCATTTGATTAATTTTGAACCATTCAATAAGTTTGATTGAGACTACCCTTAATTATGAATCAGTCCTAAAATCAGTGATATTAATGCTTTTAATCCTATATTATATAAAACTATTTTGGGGCTTTTATATCTTACGCATTTGTTTGCTTAAGGTAGCCATTTCTAATTTTAGTGCTTTTATGTCACTACAATTACCTGATCATTATTTGTATGTTTAATCAAAATGTGTGAAATAGCTTTCGAAGATGGGATGCTGTGTTTCCATGTTTCCATATGCTTATACAAAACTTGCATGTATGTATGACGATAGACATTTGAAATAAGTGAAACATGTGCACGTTTTGTTAGAATAATACGAATCAATTTTTTTTAATTTATCAGTGCTCGGAATGTGAAACATAACGATTGATTTTTAGCTTTGATCAACTTCCCTTAAAAAAAAGAAAATTTATTTAAAAAAAAAAACTAACATAAGATTATTGTTTGTCGCAAAACATTTGTATCATTGTAAGCTTTTTGTAGATATGAAAGTAGTCCAAGAACATGTCGTCAATGTAGAAACCGCTTCCCCTATCTTAAATGTGGAGACTGGTTCAGAGGACTATGTTCTGCTACAAACAGACCACAGAGTCCGGTTGGGCCACGAATACTAGGGATACCAGGGGCACCAGGGGCACTGGGGATACGAGGGCCACTAGGGATACCGCGTCCACGAGCAAATAAAATAATCAATAAAGATCTAGGAATAAAAAGAAAATTTTCATCTACAATTACAGACAAAAGAAAGAAACCAACACGTAAAAGGAGGTCCACAGGTGATTGGCTTGTGTACGAAACTTTTCTAGAGGAAAAAAAAATCAGTAAAATTAGACGAACAAAAAGATCGATAAATTCCAGGAGATACAATATGGAAGAGCAAACATCTCACATAACCGACATGGACTCTTCCATGCAAAACTCTTTTTTACTGGATGGCGAGCCCGATATTAAGCGTTGGGTATTTATACCAGTTAAAATTGTTCATAGACGTCCGTCTGGCTTACTCTTTGGCACAAAAGTGATAAAGAATAGAAATCTTGTAGATGATGTTGATGTATATTCATATAACAAATATATGAATTATACAGATGAAGAGCAGCAAGCAACATATTCTCATAGTTTTACGTCCGGGTCAGGGGCAGACAAAGTATATGTTCAGGTTGACGGTATGTCATACAATGGAAAGTATGTAGATTACACGATAGTTGATTCCAGACTCCCTGTATCAGAATCTGTTGCCTTCGTTGCTGTTAAAAATCCAAAAATTAATTCTAGCATTTCATTCATATCTGCTTACGACTCACATGGTCGGATTTGTCGCCCATATTGTCATTTGTACGGGTCAAATTCAAACCAGTATAGAAAATGTTCCGGAGTGGTTAACCTGACTGAAGAAAAACCTAAACTGTATGGTGAAGATGTCGGCGAGGTAACACAACTACTATATAAGTCTTGGAAAGGGAAGGCTTTTACCAGACGTGATGAAAATATATTTCTCAGTTTCTACTGCGACTTCCATGAAATTCCATGGGGAAAATGTTAGTTAGTTCTTTTGTGATGAACGCGTAATTTACATTGCAAGTTTATTATTGTTCACAAATACTTTGTTTTTGGCGCTTGATATATAGTTACATACCGTACACATACAAAATTTAGGTCTACAAAATATGGTAAAAAAATCAACAAATATTTCGGGTAACACAACCCCACTTGAGCATAAAACGAGACTAACCGTTAGAAATCCTAAACATCATACAAACAGAACAATGATCTTTTCACAGAGTCCTACAAATTTAATACCAGTATGATGAATATCTTTAACCAAGACAATAATTCAATATGATACAATCTATGAAATATATGTACAAGATATGGAATAAAACAATATATACCAAACCTCATTTTTTTTCTTAATGTCATTGCCTAAACATACAAATTAATTCTTGACATTTATTCTATGTAATGCAAATGATTTGAAACAAAAATGAAAATGATAATTTATTAATTGTATGCGTCGTTCTTGATTTATCTTCATCAGGAACGCTAATCACCAAATAATATTGAAAGCCAATGATGTAAAATATTCGACACACGTGAAGATCTATAAGTTTATAATCCAAATCTTTCCCAAGACACATTCTCTTCCTTGAAGAGACCTGTTTTATGGTTAGTGATAATGATTAACATCCTGATGAGATCTGCGTAAGAATGACCATAAGATCACAAATGGTTTTTTCATCTACGGAATGATTTATAATATCAAAATTATAGCATTTGCTGGACTCTAACGTATATAATCGTTCTAAAATAAATCATAGGAAATGCAACAAATTTTAGCGTTTGCAGCATTTGAATTTCCAATCAAACAAATCATGCCAGCACAAAAAGGTAAAAAAGATAACAATGATATTTGCATAAACTATGGAACAAGGGAAGCGTCAATTAGTAATGAAAATAAATTCTTATAAAAAAATTTAAAAAAAATACACGTCACGTCAAACATATATTGTAAGCTGAAAGCTGCTTCCATTTGTATTTTCTTCTTTCAATATTTTGACCTTTCCACTGACATATCATATATATATAACAACTACTCATGATCTGCTTGAAAGAAACTTGTACAAAATCACGGTGTACTTTTCGCAGGTATACAAATTGATATTTACACATATCTAGATCATCCTTACTTTTGTCCTTTACAGTTCATTTAAAATCTCATAATTTTATTGATTTGATAATCATAATTTAAAACAGTTTTTATTTTTTACTAACGTCATCATATCTCGGAGCGTTTAGTACAGGGATTTTGTCATGATTCAGTTCGGTAAATCCCCCAACTAATGCTTTCGTTCTCCATAAATAAGCATACACAAAGTAAATGAGAAGTTTGATCCAATAGTTTACTTCAAAGTTTCAACATTGAAACTGTGTTTGTTGAAATTAATTAACGCGCGTAAAGAATTTCGACATAAAACGACATGATTTGGTTAAAGGGGCATTGCTACGAGATATATAAAAAATCAAATATGATTTTTTTTGTTCAATCATTAATGACAGTGATATAGTCAAATACTAATTCGCTTTAAGCAGCTAATTTGGTTCAATTTTGTCAAAATAACCTAAGGAACATCGCTGATGATTTATTCACTTGCAAGTGAATAATTCGACCTCATTGAATCCGTATTCATGTGACCTTCAATTTAGCTGGAGATGGGTTACGCATGTATTCAGCTATTAAAAGGAAAAGAATGTCAACATTTAAAGTGAAATAAGGATGAACCATTTGGTTGACTGATTCGATCCACAAAAAAATAATTCCTATACAGGTAAACACGATGATAAACATACTTTTTGTCCTACAATATGAAATCAAACAGACCTAGAAAAATCCAATTGCACGTGGTTGTTATCTGTTTATATCTATATTTATGTTTATATCGGGTTATGTGACCGTCGACAGTCTTCGGAGGTCAGCTCGACGGTTAATTATATCACTGATGTCAACGTGAAGATCGTAACTGCAATTACGATCATCCCAATATGGCGGACACAAATTCAGGTAAATTTTATAAGGCCGATTTCTCCACTTTAACAGCTTATTTTCTGATTTGTATTTTGTCAAGAAACATCTTTATAAGCATTGCCATTGAATGTTTTTTTTTCCTAAATGATGGAAAAGCAACCAGAAGAACGAAAATCGAGAAACAAAAAAACACGATGATGATCGTAACTTCGTCTATGGATGATCGTAACTTGGACTTGTTTTTTATATCTTCTTCTTCTTCTTCCAGGTAAGGAACCGAATTTAATAGTCGAATGTATGAGGTCCCGCGAAAACTATACGTAGTGTCGGACAACACAGAAAGTTTTCTCTTGGCTATTTACAAGTTAAAACGTTCTCTATATATATACAATTAAAATTATGTACAGGATGTTACTGTCTTAATGTTAGCAAAGCATGCCTTCAGGGCAGCTCTCAATCCTTCAACTGTGTCCGCTGATGTCGTTGATGGTGGCAGTTGGTTCCAGTCACTGATGGTCCTTGGAAAAAATGATTGGCCGAAGGCGTCTGTTGTAGCCCTTTCTTGGCAGAAACGGTTTTTACCTCTGGTCCAGCTATCGTTTGGCGTCAGATATTGGTGCCGATCTATGTCTATTAAATCATGTTGAATTTTAAACAGCATGCATAGCCTATTTTGTTTCCTGCGGTCTTCAAGGCTTTCCCATTTACCATCTTTGTTACACAGCCAGGTGTGCGGTCTGTGTAGTTGTGGTTTACAAATCTGGCTGCTCTTTTCTGCACTTGTTCGATTGCTTTTATTTTAGTCTGTTTTGTTGGGTCCCATACCGTGCATGCATATTCAACTGAAGGTCTTACTATTGTTGAATATGCTGCTGCTTTAACCGGTTTAGTGCAATCTTTTAGGTTCCGTCTTATGAAGCCCCGTGTTTTGTTGCCTTTACCCACATATAAAGATGATCGTAACTCAAAATTTACGATTTGTTTCTTCTTTAAATGAACATCCTATTTAGCAGACAAAAATACACACGAAATGTTGATACATATTATCGAGTCCATGCATTTTGATTGTTTATTTTAGACTTTTTGTAATTTGGATATACGTTTTAGTATGTTATAAAACAAATATGAGACTTTGAGTTAAATCGGTGAACATGAATTTGACAGCTAATGCCCGTTTAAGCAATTGTTATTGCTCAGTTAAGGTTTCCAAATTTTGTCATGGTTTATAAAAGAATTGAAACATATTAGTTTCACTTTAACATTGATAGTTTGTTCGAATGCGTCGTTAAAAAAACACAATCACACAATGTACCAAAATAATGATTGTTAAGAAAAGAAGCCTTTTTTGTCCAATTTAATGGGTGAAATCGAATAACCGTTATCGAAAGATATCATACCTGTGAATAATATGATCGATACAGGCGTAGTTAGTTTGTGCTGCCATTCAATGGAACTCTTTTTCGCCTACAATTATCTCCGTATGTAGGTTACTGATTATGGCAGGGATGTACAGATGAGCGACATAAGTAGTCAAAAGGTAAAGACAAAAGCTTCGGGTACTTTAATCCTGACATCTTATGAGAAAATATCCCCATCAAGGCCTCGGAATGGTGTGTCAACATGTGAGTTTTCAAACCATAAAGCCAAATTCAAATAGAAAGATTTTCAATATCTGACCAGTTTAGTGTACACGCAATACAAACCAATGTGCGACTGGCTGAAGTAATTTTGGAAAATGTCACGGTTAGCTGTTGCCATCGGCATAGACGTTTCTTGTGGAAGTAAGACATTGTCTGTTTTGTTGCTTTTTTTGCTGTGTTATCAAACAAAAATAGGGACGCGCCAATCGAGATAAAAATCAGATTACATTTTGAAATAAAACCAGCTAGGCAAGTGGAAAATACACACGGATAAGAAAAACAAACCCATAGTGTAAACATTCCAAACAGTTTCATGTCATTTGTAACACTTAAATCATTCTTGGTTTTTTTTTAAATTCTTAGCAAACTTCACATAAGTTTTTATTTCGACTAGCCAGAATATGGTTTAGGGTAAACATAGATACGACTTAATTCACACTTCCCATGAATTTCTATAGATTTTCTGAATATAGACAAAAGGAGACGTGCGGTTTAAATTAATAACACTGCAACTGAATGACAAAAATAGCAAAAATACATCTAGAAGGCAAAAATATGTCTTCAACAATAGACAGATATAATCCTTACAATATTTACTTATTTTGTGTTATGTCTCGTCTAACTACTTTTTAATATGTACCATCTTTGATAAGTATTAAGTATGACGATAAATTTTCACTTCTGTACTCGTACTCTGAACAACAAAGGAGTAATTTCGGTAAGGTCAATATTTGGCCTCGATTATAAAGTTCAATGGTACAAGATAAAAAAATGTTTTAAGTTGTCTTCAAGACATGTGAGAAAGTTAAATAGAACTATTTGTGTCAAAGTTTTATTCTAAAGCGTTGATTTTTACATCCAAAATAGGTCAAAATAAGAGATTTTGACGAAATTTGACAAAATTGGCCGGATTTCAACAAAATTTAGGACCAGGAAACATAGAGCGCAGGCGTCGACAAACTTAATATTCAAGTTAAACATAAAAATGAGTACTGTTTATGACGTCATCAGTAGAATGCAGGAACGTAAATTCAACAAAAAGGCTTATTTCCTATGTAGTCACTGTATTAGCTATGATTCATTGTGATATTGGTCAATAAACTCTAATTTGAAATTTAAGCTAAAAAAGAGGGCCATTTTAGGGCCTTATCGAACCTACTCCTTTATTAATATTGTAAAAAATGTTTACTTCCGTACTCTTAACAACAAAATTATTATATTTAAATTTACCTGTGTACGTTGTTTTATTTAACGCCATTTTGTCGCAGGTAAGAGTTGTCTTATTGACACCCTTTCTACATCTTTTTTATTTCTACCTGTACCGTCTATGTTATATAGGCACCTACGTTTTAATATTGTATGTATGTTGTGTCATAGATCAAACTTGTTCGTTCAGTGTATGTCTACTTGTTTTTGTTTAAATGTCTTTCTGATCGAGTTAAGCCATTTCAATTGATATTTTATAGTGTGTCTTTTTATGTTGTAATGTTACAATTCTGTCTCAGATTAGGGTGAAGGTTGGCGCCTGTTAAAACGTTTAAACCCGCTGCATTTTTATGCACCTGTTCTAAGTCAGGAGCCTATTGTTCAGTGGTTGTCGTTTGTTGGTGTGGTTCATAGGTGTTTCTCGTTTCTCGTTTTTCATATAGATTAGACCGTTGGTTTTCCTGTTTGAATTGTTTTACACTAGTCATTTTGGGAGCTTTTATAGCTTGCT